CAATTAAACGACATAATAAATTTCTTGAAAATTGATATTACAAATTGAGAGCTGTCCTGATTAAATAGTATTATAATTATAGTGAAAAAGAATAAGTTAATTTTAAAGTCATAAAATAGTTTTAGATTTTTGAAGTATAGCTCTTATTTTGTAACTTAAGTTTAGTAACTTAAAATTGTTGCAATGACTTAATTCGCTATTACGCTCTTGATTCTATATAATATTGTCTTTTTCAATTTTTTAAAAATGTAATTATTGTATCACAAAAGTTACGCAATATCATGTAAAGAATACAAAAATGCTTTTATGATAAATTTCTTCAGAATATTTCATGAAATACTTTACTTCGCCAAATATGTGTTTCTTTAAATTCCTGGATTTGACAAACTATTTGATCGATTAAATATTGTAAAAAATTTTATTTTGTAACTTTATTTTGTAATTTTATTTTGTAAATCTAACAAGCTTGGAGAAATCAATTTTCTAAAGATTATTAAATAAAAATTAGATAAAATATTGTGTGTGTGCTCTATTTTATATTAAATAAATAGATAAAAACAGATTAAATCTTTCAAATTTTATGTAAAAATACTTTGTTATACTATTTTGAAGTCTTAAAATGTGAATTAATTAACGGTTAATTATGAAATAAAGATAATTATTAAGAGGGCGAAAAAGATAATAGAATGCCCAGAAAACATGTTAAACATAAATTAATGATACATTTGCTTTGCACGGACTGATTAGAGTCCGTTGTTATTATAGTTACTAATGGTAAGAACTATCATTAACAGATATTACACCTTTTACTATCCGTAGAACGTGAGGTAAAACACAACTCAGATATTCATACTCACATTCAAGATATACAGGGTGTTGCAGAAAAATTAATTTTTTAAATTTACATAAATGCCGACTATAATCTTAATTTGAAAAAGAGAGGGGGAAAGGAGAAAGACAGAAAAAAGTATTAATCTTTTTTAATTTTTCATATAGTTTTCGTTTTATACATATAGTATATGTTAAGTATCGTCTATTGTGAAAGAAATAATTTCACTGAAAAAAATTTACTAAAACTTAATACATATTTCTTCGAATAGTACTAAGTATTAAACATTTACTTACAGTGAGTAAATATTTATTTACTCAATAAAAAATGATAGTTAAATCAAATTAATGGTTTTTCAAATATATGATTACATTTAAACAATATTTATTTAGAACTATACAAATTTTCATAAAAATTTAATATTTTTTTCAATATAAATACGTACTTAAAAACAATTTTTTATTAAAAAATTAAAAATTTGTATTAAAATTATAATAAAATTTAAAAATGAAAAAGAAAAGGACTTTTTCTAAATGACATGTTTATTTACTAACGTTTTTAATTTTTAAATTGTAACGATTAACCTTAGACTCGTAGCCCTTTTCCTTTTCGTTTTTTTAATTTTATTAAGCCTTATTACTATTATAGAGAATTTTGCACTTCCTTTCAATAACAAGAGTAAGATAATCTTTGAGTAAGATAATCTTTTTTGCATAAAGAGTGTTGAGAGTAGCACACAGAGAATGCCCATCGATAGAATTGAAATTACGAACTATTCTATTCCAATCTTGAATATTATCTCTTCTCCTATTTTTACATCTCCTATTGACAAACAATTATTAAAATTGGAATCAGATACAATTTGTCGGCGCATCCTAATATTATTTTCACACATACTGATAAAGGTAACGTCACGGTTGCTATGGACAAAAACACAACATAAATAAAATGATCACATTATTAAGTGACTCAGACACGTATGTACCTATTAAGAAAGATCTCAAGAAACTTATGACAGCTTTAAGGTCTGTGTAATGTATTTACGTTAGGAAAGATCTTGCACACAACTCTCTCTCTCGAGGCTCTATCAATTCCATATAATATACTCTTTATTAATGGACTAAACAAAAATGTGTTCACTGGCCTCGCTATTACAATTGAATCTTATCGGAAGAGCGTCCCCCTTCGTTACGCTAATCGCGCCCTCTCCCACAGCGCCGCTCGGAAGAAAAAATAAACTGTTATTGTAGCGCTTCCTACGTTAACTAAATAACCAATACACTACAATCTCATTAGATGATATGATTGGAAACGAGACCGTTTATATTAAAACTTGAAATAACGAAGCGCCTTACCGATCCGAGTGTTAAGATGTTGAACTACTATATAATATACATTCATTTAAATTGAATTAATTTTCAGAAATAAATTGCAAGCTTAAAAAAGCTTAGGATGCTCGCACGGAATGCAAGAGATGCGGGTTCAACTCCCGGCCGAGGCAATATTTTTCGCAATAAGTTTGTTACAGTTTTTTAAGATTTGGGAAATTTTAGGGGGATTATTTGTTTCAGATTGATTGTGTGAATCCGATAATCTCATCGGCTCTCAATTTATTTCTGAAAATTAATTCAATTTAAATGAATGTATATTATATAGTAGTTCAATTTTTTAACACTCGGACCGGTAAGGCGCTTCGTTATTTCAAGCCTCATTAGATGAAAGATTATATTAAGGACTCTAAGTACAAAACGTTACATTGCAGCAACGGATTACTTCCGAGAGTCTATGGATTGCCGAAGATTCACAAACCGGGTTGTCCTCTCAGAATTATTGTTTCATCGATAGGCAATCCGCTATACGCTTTAGCTACATATTTGCACAATATACTATTCAACTCACTTTTCACGAATGTTTCAAATATAGCGGTTGATTGTGTGATTGAGCAATGGAGTTTCATTTCCAAGGAATGCTCTCTGCCTAAGAATGAGTTTCTGGGAACGATACCTTTTAGATTCCACCTTTTTTTCGTTTGGCAATAAAATTTATAACCAACACTTCGGCACTCCCATGAGCTCTCCTTTATCACCCGTAATAGCGGACCTAGTAATGAGGAGAGACGGTGTTCCTGATGTCGTTGAATGTGGTCATTTTATTTTACTATAGATATGTACAATAGATGACATTTGCAGTTCCGCCCACAAAAATTAATAATTTGTTATAACAGTTTAATTCATTTCATCCGCGCCTTCAATTTACTTTAGAAAGGGGGAGAAAAATTAGATTTTTTGGACATTACTATATCTATTAACAAGAATCAATTTATTTTTGATTGGTATCGTAAACCTATCTTTTTAGAGAGATTTTTCCACTCAAATCATCCTATTGCACAAAAAAAAGGTACAATTTTTTTGCTAGTTGACAGAGCTTTTTTACTTTCTGACTTTATGTTTCACACAAAAAATTTGATATTTATTATTAACGTTTTATTAGATAATGACTATCCATTAACTTTTATTTTTAACACCGTTAATCAACGTATAAAAAAGTTACTTAAAAATAGATACACAATACGTAAAGATTTGATTGACAATGTCTGTGTGAATGAATCTGCATCTTGGCTTACAGTACCATTTATTCCTTTTTACACAGAAAAATTTAGAAGGTTTCAATAAAAACAACATCAGGGTATCTTTTCATAGTCCTAATAAAATAGGTAAATATATTAAAGTACAAAAGGACATTTGTCCCCACACATCTAAGAGCAATGTAGTTTATAAGATTTGTATGATCATGATTTCCAATGGGACAATGTTAAAATTTTGGACGAAGAGCCTTGCTATAGGAAACGCTTAATTTCTGAGATGTTCAATATTAAAAAGCAGAAGAATAGTTTAAATTTACTGACACTGAAGGTTTTCACAAGGCATATATACCTATTGTAAAGAAAGTTTGACTTTTCGATATTGACAGTCCAT